CCAAGTCTATGCCCCAACAAGTAATGCTGAAGAAGCTGAAGTTGAACGGTTCTATGAAGACCTACAAGTCCTTTTAGAATTAACACCCAAAAAGGTTAGGTAATAAGCAACCCCCTAATCTCCGTAGGTTAACCCAGGAAGAATTTATTGCTTGTGTCACAGTCCAGTGCAGGCTCTGTGTCCCTCCTGGGCAGCTGTTCTTCAAGTAGAAACTCAAGGAATCTGGCTGCTTCTACCTGGCAACTCCATCATTTCAGAATTCTTTACTTCTAATCATATCAACAGGAGAGAGGGTGAGTCAAGGTTCTTGGGGGAATCTTAAGAAAGCCAGGCACAGGCAGAAATTAGCTTCAATTTAGCCGTCAGGGAGGCTGAAGCTCTAGTCTTTCCATTTCTGCAGGAGAGGAAATGGGATGGTCAGCACCATGCCTGTGTCTGTTATATTCATGCAGAGTCTTCAGCCCCCACAGTTGTTGCAACTTAGTTTTCAGATGTTCCTGCAGGCCTGTCTCTCTCTCCAGTACAGAGTTTCAGTTTTCTTGATTTTTTAAAACTTTAATGGTCACCTGTGTACTGATAGTGCATTAATATTTGAGACTTAAGGCACTGTGTGATACCATGACCACCACGTAGTAGCTGTTTGATAATATCTGCTTAATTGAATGAAGGGAGAAGGCTAAGGATGTCTGGAGAAGCCGTCTCTGACTCAAATTTAAAGTGTCAGCTACAAACTGGCACTTGCCTGTCAACTACAAACTGGCACTTGCCAAGAGCATTTGCCAGCGACTGACTAACAACAACAAGGGCATTTGCCATCTGCCTCTGCAGAGACTGAACCCTGTGCTGGTGCAGCTGCTGACCTTCAGCACCCGCTGAGGGGAGTTCAGGGTGGAAAGTGAGGCACTCTGTGCTCCATGGAAACTGGTGGAACAAGTCTTTAGGAAGTTACATGTTTTCAGGAACCCATTTCATGATCCCAATCCTTGCGTCTCTTCATATCAAGAAAAGCACTAAATCCCTTCATGGTGACGCAGCTTATTAGTTTGATCTCTGGTGAGTAGCTAAGATCAATCATGTGAGTGTTTTGTGTCTGACTCCCAATAAAACCTCTAGACACCAAGGGTGGAGTGAGCTTCCCTAGTTGACAACACTCTGTACATACTGCCAATATTGATGCTAGAATTAAGCATGCACACCAGCATCTCCTCTTCCTGCCTAGATCCGTGGGGCAGACTGTGGACCTCTTGGGCAGGGGCTGAATGAAACAGAATTAACTTGATTCGTGTCATGGTGCCTTTTCCCTAGGACTGGTTATAAGCAGCAGTATCCCTGTGGCTCCATCTCTACCTCCTTGAATGCCTCTCACCGTGGCCACCAGCCTCTCCCAGTCCTCGCCCTTTCGCATGTGGCACACGGTACCTGTCATGCCCCTCCCTCTGCAGCGCTGCCCCTGTCCAGATCACCTTCTGCTGTTTCCTGCTGCTGACCACCACGTGGGCCCCATCCTGGGCCAGACACTGGGCGATGTTGAAGTTGATCCTGCAGGAGAGATGGAGAAGATGAGGCAATCAGCCCAGGGCTGAGCCCTTCCTGTCTTGCTGCATTTCTAGCCTTATGGCCCCAAGTGAATTTCCTACTATCCTGGAGCAGCTAACCTCGTGCTCTGCTTATGGATGATCAGAGGACCAGAGAGAGTCAAGAGAGAACTTCCCTTCATGGGTGTGTTGGACAGGCTGCCAGTGTCTATCAGATCTTGGCTTCACCTTCTGTTCAAATGGCTGCAGCCTGAGAGTTTGTTGCCTCCAGTCTGTGAAACCACTGGGCACCTAAAAGCATGCAACGTGGAAGCACGGGGTCTAATTCCATCCAGAGCGACTCTCGATCACTGGAGCCAGGGCACGAATGACTGAACTGTCCCCCTGACTTTCCCTGATGGGCACTCTGAGGTATAGTTCCCATGTTTCCCAGAGGATCTGTAGAATCTAGCACCCAGTGGCCTGTAGTGGCAGCCAACTCCATGACCGGCCCATGCTGGCTTTCTCTCCTTTCCTGCTTCCCTTCTTGTTTCTCCTTAGGGTCACATTCCCAAATAAACTATGACACTTCCACCTGGGGATGAAGTTAAGACAACGAGGTCGACAAAATCTAGACACGCCCACAATTCCCAGGTCCCCCAGATGTTCTCTCACCCATTTGTAGATCCTGTGACCACGGTGACTTTGTTGATCGGGTTGGTGCTACCCCTGGCTCCCCTGCTGGTGCCCCTCATGGACAGCAAGGCCTTAGAGGGCAGGAGACCCCTCCAAGCTCGGGTCAGGGTCCTAAACCTAGTGGTTTCTGTTGGGTCTTCCTCTTGGTGAGCTTGGTCTAGGGAGGTTTCTAGAAAGTTAATCACAGTTGCAGTCAGCAGTGTCTCTGAGTAAGGAGCTGATGCAACACCTCCCTGGTTGGGCTAGATCCTGGGCGGTCTGGGGATCACTCTGGGAAGCTCAGCCTAGAACCTGTTCTTCTAGTCCTTCTCATGGTTTTCTTTCTTTTTTTTTTATCATAAAGTTTAATTATGGTTCAGAAAAAATTGAGTGAATAACCTTCTCTGAAAAAATATATTGACTCTGTAGACTGCAGTTACTGGGGGCGGGGAGGGTAGACGGCAGCTGGTAAGTTAAATTACCCTATTTTCTATTCTTAAAATGACAAGAAGTCCCACATCCAGTCTGATTATAGAGATGCATGTGCCCCAAATGGCTGAGAATAAATACAACAAGAAAGGCAGAAGCTGTAAAGCTAAGGGCATGCAATAGGCTCTAAGAGAAAGTCTCAGAAATACCCAGAGTGGCAACAAGGAACGTTTGGCTGGAATTTGAAGTTCTTTTTAGTCGTCTTTGTCTTTCGCTCCATGCTTAAGGATGCGCGTGAACTCGATGTAATTGAAATTTCCCTTTTTGTCAATACGTGCTTCTCTGTACAGCTCGTCCACTTCCTCATCTGTAAACCGGTCTCCCATTGTGGTCAGCAGTTCTCTCAGGTAATCCTCCTGAATGGTGCCAGTTGCTTCTTCATCAAAGCAAGCAAAAGCATTTCTGATGACATCTGGATCTGTGCCATTTAACTTTTCACCAAACATCATGAGAAACATGGTAAAATTTATGGGACCTGGAGCCTCATTCATCATGGCATCCAGATACTCATCAGTTGGATTTTTTCCCAGGGAAGCAAGCATGTCATGCAAGTCTTCCTTGTCGATGAACCCGTCCCTGTTCTGGTCGATCATTTTGAAGGCCTCCTTAAACTCCTGAATCTGGGACTGGTCAAACATGGTGAACACGTTGGAGGTCGCGCGCTGGGGGCGCTTCTTGGTGGTCTTGGTCTTTGCTCTTTTGCTCAACATGGTGGCAGTTAAATCCCTAACTATGCCGCGAGAATCCGAAAGCTTCTGGAACCTCCTCGCTGCCTCAGCTGCCGCTACCACCTCCCTTCCACTCCCAGAGACGGTACAAACCGACACTTCCGGCCCCTCATGGTTTTCTGAACACAGACTTTCCTATATGAAATCTTTTCTGTTTAAACTAACTGGAGTGTTTTCTGCTGCTTAGAAGCAAATTCTAACCTATTCTCACACAGGTTCAAAAATTATTTAATCATCGAGACCCATAGGATAGTGAACATGTACTGTACAGGTTTGCTGCCTGAGGACCAAGCAAGTTAAGGTGTGAAAGGGTTTTGTAATGTGTCTAAAATATAAGCAGTTCTGTAGCTTCTTATAACAGTTGACGTGTGTTTCATCATTCTATCCTTGAGAGACCCCTGGCCTCCAGCCTCTGGATGCAGCTCACCCTGCTTGCAGTGCTTTGCCCTGCCTGCTTCCCCTCCCACAGCCTCTTCTTTGTTTTCAGTGCATTAAGGGGATCCTTTCTCATGTATTATCTCCTCCATGTGACCTAGTTAGTGGTCCTATGCTTACTCCCCTTCTAGCATTTATGGCGCTAACTCTAATGGACTGTGTTGCATTTATCACTTTTAACAGGGTGCCCACCACCTGCTACTTGCTTAACAGATATTTATTAAAGGAATGAAAAAAAAAATGAATGAATTGAGATTGGGCTGCCCTAAGCTAGTGAGGCTGTAGGGACCCCTTTGGACCATGGGTTGAATTTCTTAGTCACACTCGTCCCCTGTGCTGTCCTGTTGTGTCAGTTCAACTCTGGTCTGCAAACATTTACTTTCAAGAAGCCATTCTTGGATTTTAAGTGCTCAAGCTTTGAATGGCATCAGGCCATGTGCGCAGTGAACTTGTGTTTTCCTGATGTTTAGGATTCTGACCCTGTGCTCAAATTTCCACAAATCTATAGCTCTGAACTGATTTACATAAAACCAATTCCCTTATTTAAGCACTTAAACTTTAGTAAATCTTAGGCAAATATCAAAGCAGCTTATGCTTTTGAAGCAAACTATATACACAAAAATTCATAATCTTTTATCTCAGAAACTTAGCTCCTATGGTTCCTATTCATTTATTATGGTTCCTTACCTCCCCTGTAGCCAGGGATTCAAAATAGAAGGGTTTCTTTGTCCTCCTACTTAACTTTTTGTCAGTGTCACTCCAGGCAGTTTATTCTTAAATCTCTGGGGCTTCATCTTGTCCAAGAACCCAATCTCTCGATCTCCGTTCCCCAAACCATTTCTCAGTCTTTTCTGACAAGGAAGAATCTACCTGGGGGAATAAAAAAGCTCAGCATTTCTCCCCCCGCCCTCCCCAGCTCCACCTGTTTCCTTCGCATCTTTCTTTATTTTGGGAAAAAAGATACAGAATCTAGGAGTGTACTAGTTTCCTCATTTTTTTCAACAAACATTTTAATGGGAACCTGCTATGTACTGAGTGCGTGGAATACAAAGATGCCTCTATCATGGTTTTACCTTTGGTACTCAAACTGAAATTGTGCAACACAGATTGGGTCTTGAACCCATGGTCTTTTAACTGAGATCACTCACCTGGTCTCAGGATTTAGTGAAGCTCAGATTCTAAATGTCATGACACAGAAAGAATTCAGTAGGAAACAAAATGATAAAGAAGTGAATTTATTTAGAGAGAAACATACTCCACAGACAGAATGTGGGCCATCTCAGAAGGCAAGGGCAGCACCGTGGTATGGGGTTGTCAGATTTTATGTGCGTGCTTTGTCATTCAGTTGTGTCCAACTGTTTGCGACCCTGCAGACTGGAGTGGATAATTTCACAGGCTAATGAGTGGGAGGAGTATTCTAGCTATTTTGGGGAGAGGGTGGGCATTTCCAGGAATTGGGCCGTGGGGGCCCCCTTTCTGACCTTTGTGATCGGCCTTGGAATTGTCATGGAGCCTGTGAGTGTGTCATTTAGCTGATGTGTTAAAATGAGCATATTTTGAGGCTCAAGGTCTAGTAGGAGTAGACTCATCTGCCATCTTGGACCTATTTGGTTCTAATCAATTTATGTCTTGTCCTCAGGCTATGTCACTCTTTTAAAGGTTGTGAAAGAAAGAAAGATAACACTAAGTCATGTCCGACTCTTGCGATCCCACGAACTGTAGCATGCCAGGCTCCTCTGTCCATAGGATTCTCCAGGCAATGATACTGGAGTGGGTTGCCGTTTCCTTCTCCAGGGGAACTTCCCAACTCAGGAACTGAACCCAGGTCTCCCACATTGCAGGCAGATGTTTTACCAACTGAGCTATGCAGGAAGCCCCTAAAAGGTTGTGCCCTGCCCTCTTCCCTCCTGCTTCAAAATTTTTCATACTCTGAACTGGGTGTGCAGACAAGAGTATAGTTATTATCCATAGTGTTAGGAGGTAAATATGGTGAACACAGTTTCTGAACATAAATGTTGCATTGGTTAGATAAAATATATTGGGGAAAATAATACCAGAGTGGACTCAGGAAAAGGAGCTTTCCTTATTGTTATTTTTATTTTAAAAGATGCATGCTTTTTAAAAAAGGGGTAAATGTTCACTGTAAAATTAAAAACTATATATTTGAGAAAATTCATGAGAAAATTCAGGGAAAAGCTGTGAAAGGCTTCATAGTGAATCTGACTTTGAAATGGATTGATATATTCTATGGAAAGCCAGGCTTTGTCTAGAACACTCTTCAGGTGATCAGATTCTGTGGGGTCACTGCACCTTTCATTGCCTTTGAGTTATTTACAACTGATAGCAATGCAAATGACGCCTATCCACAGATGCAAATAAATGTTGTCTGGAGGAGATTCAATTGGTTTCCTTCCCTCCACTGTGGAAGAAATCAGCTTTGCATCTATTAAGCAAATTTATTTTAGTTTTCCTTATGGTCTCCCTCTATGTGCGGTTCTTTGAATTCACTTTTGAATCAGTTATAATATCTTAGTGGTTTCCTTCATGAATTATTGAGTTAAGTAAAAATTTTGGTACTTGTTCATTTTATATTTGCATGACAGTATGACTTTGCCTTATAAAAAATTATCCTTCAACAGAAGAAAGTAAAAATTTGATATCAAGTTAAATATTGTTGTTGTTATTGTTTTTTAACAATTCCCTTAGCTACCTCTCTGCATATCCATTCTCATATAAAATCCATGTATTCAATTTTACAGAAAGGGATCACAGTACAGATGGATTTTCCCTTTCTCCATCCTTCCCACCTTTTCCCCTCTTCTTTTGTGTTTCCTTTCCTCCCTTCCTTCTTCCTTCCTTTTTTCTTCTTTCTTCCTTCCTCTCTCTCTCTCTCTTTCTTATATTTATTTATTTGTGATGTGGACCTTTTTAAAAAAATTATTTACTTATTTTTGGCTGTGCTTGGTCTTTTGTTGTTGCACCAGCTTTTTTTCTAGTTGTGGTGAGCGAGGGCGACGAGCGAGGGCTCGTTTAGGTAAGAAGTGTGTACTTCTTGTTGTGGAGGCTTCTTGCTGTGGAGCACGGGCTCTGGGCACTCAGGCTTTCAGTAGTTGCAGCACGTGGGCTCAGTAGTTGCGGCTCCCAGGCTCTAGGGCACAGGCTCAATAATTGTGGTGCATGGGCTTAGTTGATCCATGGCTAGTTGATCCATGGCATGTGGAACTTTCCCAGATCAGGGATCGAACCCATGTCTCCTGCATTGGCAGATGGATTCTTGACCTTGGCGCCATCCGGGAAGCCCTGATGTGGACCATTTTTAAAGTCTTTATTGAGTTTGTTACAATGTTGCTTCTGCTTTACATTTTGTTTTTTTGGCCATGAGGCATGCAGGATCTTAGTTTCCTGGCCAGGGATCGAACCTGTGTACCCTGAATTGGAAGGCAGATTCTTAACCACTGGACTACCAAGGAAGTCCCTCCTTAGCTGATTCTTAAAGGATGAATGAAATAAGGAGTTTAGGAATATGGGAGGGCACATCAAGTGCAAGGAAGGTGGCAAGGAGAGAAAAGCACAGTGGGAGGAACTACAGAGAGTTTGGTATTCCTGGAACATCCAGTGTGACTTGGGGATGGGCTGGAGATGAGGCTAGGGAATTAGTCAAGGGCCAGATGATGGCACTTATTGAATGCTGAGACAGAGAGCCTGGGCTTTATCTAGAGGACAGAGGAGAGATATTGAAATTTAATAAGAAAGGTGAAAGGGTCAAATATTGACATGGTTAGAGTTTTGCCTTCTAGAGACAATTTCTGTGTGTGTGTGCATATGCTCATGCACAGTTTGATCTGGCAGCTAAGAGATTACTGTAGCAGGAGATACGAAGGTCCTAAATCAATTAAATACCATCAGGAAATAGATGACAGAATCAAATCAGATAAATTAAAGAGAGTTTTCATGAAGGGACTATTTTCAGAGGTAAGGTATAGGAAAGGTGCAGGGATTGTGTGGTACCTGGAGTTAGCAACAGGGGAGTCAGCAACAGCTACCATCCAGGCCTGAATGGACGAGAAGAGGAAGTTGTTGTTCAGTCAATCAGTTGTGTCTGACACTTTGTGACCCCATGGACTGCAGCATGCCAGGCTTCCCTGTCCATCACCAACACCCGGAGCTTGCTCAAACTCATGTCCATTGCATCAGTGTTGCCATCCAACAATCTCATCCTCTATAATCCCTTTCTCTTCTTGCCTTCAATCTTTCCCACCATCAGGGTCTTTTCTGATGAGTCAGTTCTTCAGATCCAGGTGGCCAAAGTATTGGAGCTTCAACTTTAGCATCAGTCCTTCCAATGAGTATCCAGGTTTTTATTTCCTTTAGGACTGACTGGTTTAATCTCCTTGCTATCAAAGGGACTCTCAAAAGTCTGCTCTAGCATCACATTTTGAAAGCATCAATTCTTCGGCACTCAGCCTTCTTCATGGTCCAAATCTCACATCCATACATGACTACTGGAAAAACCATAGCTTTGACTATACAGACCTTTGTCAGTAAAGTTGTGTCTCTGCTTCTTAATATACTGTCTAGGTTTGTCATAGCTTTTCTTCCAAGGAGCAAGCATCTTTAAGGGGTTACTTCAACAAAGAGAGATAGAGGGCTGCCCATC